GGGGGGGGGGGGGGGGGGGGTACTCTGGATAGTTGTTTCCCAAATTTGAAAGGGAGTACTTTGGTTCTCCCAATGCCTAAAAAGTGTAGTATGCGGTAACAATTGGATTGAAAAGCTGAAAGGTGGGTATGAGCTGGAAAAATCATCTAACCTCTTACATGGTTTTTAATTTCGAATTCCCCCCTACAGGAATTAAAGATTTGTGTTCGTATATGCTCCAAAAGACCCGAGATACTCTTTATTTAGTTTGGTGTATACTTTTTGAGTGCATATGCTGAATGAAGTTAGCAAATTTTCCTTGGATACAAAGCAATAGAAAATTCTCTTGTTATCACAGGCACATTAGTGATCTATGATAAAAAGGAAAAGCAGTGAACTGATCACGACCTAGTTGATCTAAGAATATTGCCCCATATCCTTTGCCAAATGTCGTTCTAATGTAATTTCTTCTTTTCGAAACAGCCGAAGGTCCATCAACCAGAAAAGCATCAGTTCAAAGATATCTTGAGAAGAGAAAAGACAGGTATCATAAATATTAAGCTGCCTTCTGTGACTAACAGAAAAGAAACATGAAAAGTGCTGCTTTTCTTCCGTTCCTCATTATCTCTGTTAGGTGAAGGTTTAAGAGCAAGAGGAAGATAGGAATGACCTCGTGTGCTGGATTGGACACGTACGTTAACCATCAAGTGGGTAATCAGATACCAAATGAGCACTCGAGGAAAAGTGATGCATGCTCCCCACCCCAAATCAGACCACCCTCTACGCCTACATGGTGCGGGTTGGTTGGCTCATCTTTTTCATTAGTACATGGCTAGAATGATTATAACGTTTTGCATAGTGCTGCTATTCCTTGTGCTTGGAGAGTAAATCTTTGCTCCGAAATTTGATGCGAGCAAGAAAAATCTGAAAAAAAAGAAACTGAAAACATAATGATGTTCACTACATGTTTCGGATTATTTTGATGTTGCTTTCAGGTTAAAGGTACTCGAGAAGATGGACTGAGGTGGCCATGACGGTTGTTTGTTTCCGACCATGATGAGGAGTACGAAGCCACTATCAATCTTAGATGGTCAGCTGAATTAACAAGAGATGCTGCATAGATGTGTCTCATGAGAAGTCATTAGGTATTTGTGTCCAGTTCAACTAAGAGGAGCTGTGAGTCAGTAATTGCATTTTCCCTTAACCATTGGGTTTTAGTGTTTGAAACCAACGTACGAGAGAGAATGATTATCGGCTTCTTGCCCTCTTCCGGATTATTAGTATCATTTTCTTTATTTGTTGCATTAATCGGAAAGGATCTTTTAACTTGTTCAGCAGAATGTGTGTGATCTTTTACATAACGAGGAGTCCAAGGTCTCTGTGTTCTAGTAATGAGGATGACGACGAAAATTCAGTTGTCATTTGTGAAATTGTATTTATCTGTCCAATTGCTTGCCCACAGTCGACATTCTACGAACAATTATAAACTCTCCGGTACAATACCGAGATTAAAAGAATGCAACTATACAAGTAACTACAAACTGCAAGACGACTCACGAAGATTTTACGTGATCTCATTTTCCAGAAGGTGATGAAAAGTACGGATGTCGTAATGCATCATCAACTGTAAGACGGTCCTCCTGTAACCCAAATCCATTAAATAGAAGTAAATAATATGCCGCTGAGTTTCAAACTATCATAGTAGTAATATAAAGGTTAGGTTAACAAACAAGAAGGTGAAAATGCAAGTTTATCAAAACCCAAATTGCACACTGAACCTTGTAAGGGCAAAACTTACTGGATTCCAACGTAACAAGTCGCGTGCTAACCGCAAAGCCCATACATTTGGAAACCTGAGGAAATTTTTGGAAAGGAAGACATGAAATAGCAGTGAGTCACTGATTAACTACATGAAACATCTACTTATGAAGTGATCAATGGAACATCAAACTAAAGACTGACCCAATTTTAAGAGGATCTCTACTCTTTATGTAATAAGAAAAGAATTCTTCAGAGCACTTCCAGGGAACTGGTGAAATGGAACCCTGAAATAACATTATATGACAAAATTTAATATGTACGTATATATGTATTGTATATATAGAAAATTCAATGTGCTCCCACCTCATAGATCACATTTCGAATGTTCATTAATCTACAGCTCTACCCAGGATATCCCAGCAAACTCTTTTTTCTCTCAATTAAGATGTTTTGGAAATTAACACCCAAAATGAAGCGCATTTATCTCAACATCATGAATATCAAAAATTGAAAGACACATACTGCTAAAATGTGGCTTAAAAGTTGTGGATTAAGGTGTTTGAGGCTATACCTCAATTTTGTAATGTCTTTTGAGCTATGAAGAACCTCTATTGTTGAATATAACATCTTTATATTTTTTACACCATACTTTAGAAGCCAATACAATTTTCCAGAAGTGTTGAATCCCATAAATCAGTACTAAGCATATTACGACCCAGTTGCAGCAAAACCATAATTGCTATGCTCCGTTAGACATAAGAGATATGCCTTACAACCAGCATGGACGAACCCAGCATAAACTGGATGTCTACTTAAACATGACATTCAAAGAAGGAGAAAGATCCCTAGAGTAGAAATTTATTGCACACGACAATAGAAGAAAGTGACTCATAATACTATAATGTCAACAATCATTCATATTCACTCTGCACAAGACGGCCAAATATAGACACTCAACATCTTAGAAATTGTTAGATCCTGTCCGACATCAATAAAGTATCCTGCCGTGAAGCAATATATGAATATGGATGGCTTGGATCTGGTTTTTATGCATTTAAAAGTATATTAGAGAGGCTTCCGGATCCTATGACTGACTCTTTCACATTGATTTACTTAAATTTAGGGTCTGACGCTTGAAAAATAACTAAATGTACAGTACTTACACATGGTGACCGATGAAAGAATTAAAGGAAAGGCAGAAAGTCATATAAAAAATGCTTATTGTAAATTACAGTCTTTGCATGAAGCATGTTTATAACAAAAGAATTCAGTGAAGAAAGTTTAAACTCACATGGCCATTTGAGCCCCGATTTTGGTGAAGCTTTGAGGAACTCCCAGGAATCAAAATGCACATTTCCATAAAAGCTCTGAGTCTAGAACCCAGAACATAGCAAAAGTTAGCATTGGAGACTAAACTTAGTATCCATGTCTTCTCTTAACAACTTAAGCTTTTAAATGAAATGACTCATCGTGGTATTGGAGCAAGCTAATGTGTTGGGATCAAGTTTTGCTATCACCTATTTATTGAACTTGTGAGCATACGAGGCTTTTGATGAAAAATGAATTCAATGTGTGTGTGTGGGGAGTGTTCAAGACCAGATTTAAGTGAATAAACATGTCACTCTTTAACGATGTTAGCTTTTAGATAAAGTGGTGCAACAGTAAGAAATTTGGAATCCCAAAGTTTTTTAATTAAGTCGAGCAAAAACTATTTGTTTTCAATAGTGATTTACCTATTTAGATTCAATTATTACTAACTAGAGGAGAAATCAATTTGGATAAATTCAGGGAATAATATTTTAGATTGTTGGGGCATGTCTTGAATAGAACTAAAGAACTATTATTTGAAAAAACAAAGCAATCCAAACAGAACAGTTTAGAAGTAAGTAAACTAAAATTATTCATGTGGTTTAAAAATATTTCATTTCCTTGAACCATTTAGAAAAAGTAGCTTGGTATTGGTAGAATAATAAAAAACTATTTGTGTGATCAACTTCAAGTTTAAGGAAACAAGGCTTAGCTTCTTGTGTGTCGGACATCAATTCAAAGACTTGTGCACCCACAATTATCTTCTGGACTTACTTGTAAGCTAGCTCCTTCAATCTTTCGTTCCAACCCTCAAGGTGATGATCTAGAAGAGCTCTTGTTTTAGCATTTATTTGAAATGCATTAGGCGATCCTAAGATCAACTCCAGGATCACAACACCAACACTCCACATATCATACCTAGGCGACAAATTAGTTGTAAAAAATCAGCCCATTGTACAGAAATGCAGTTGGACAAAAAAAGAGAGAGAGTTTACTGAACAAGACACCTTTTGGCTTTGAAACTCTTCTACTCAGAATCTTAGTGTTAAGACGATTATTCTCAATATTTTACTCAATAATTAGAAGCGCTTTGGTAGGCACTCGTATGAATTTTCTGACACCTGTGTTGGTGAGACATCTGTTATTTTGAATTTAGGCATGGAATGCCTATCAAATCCCACGAAGTACAAAACAGGTAATAATAACCAAATTTTGTAGAATTCGAAAAAGTGTACTTCAATCTCCCTCACAGTTCGATTTTGTTGCAAAATCATTTCGAAATGGATTGCAGCAGCATTCAATTCGGTCAGCTTTATAATGTACGCTCTCTCTCTAATATTATTAACAACTATTGGACCAATGAACAGTTTAACTGGTGTTAATTGGACTGAATAGAACTCTTAGAATTTTGGATGCTTATGATACCATTTTTTTTTTTTTTACCTCTTTTCATGATATATTTTGTCTTTATACTGTAAAGAAGAAATAACTTCTTGCATTATTTAATTTTATACGCACAACTTTACCGCACAAGCGTGAGCTAGGAAACGTTCCATATGTCCTTTCAAGTCATTGATGTTCTATAATTTCAATAGACTGAGGTAATCCCTTCAAACAGAATTCAACGTTAAGACTAGAACCTAGTAATTGAGCTAAAATTAGCATGCTTACAGCTCTAGTATATTGGAGGTAATGTAGGACTCCACAACAATTTCTTTTCTGGTTGTTCTATGTTTGAACTTATTAAAACTATATAATAGAAAAATAAATTTGTATGCGATACATTATGTGCCAAAACATTATTATAATACATGGACATGAATGCCAAAATTTCTTTTCTACAGACAAGATAGTAAGGCAGTCAGAACACAATCAGTTCAAGAATATTAATCATGTGAGATTATCAACTTACTAGACATTAACTAATAAAAATATGAAAATTAAGATCAATTTACTTTGGGAAGAAGGTTGGCATACTTGGTAGTTATGCTCGATGGTGCCCGATACCAACTAACATTCAGAAAGGCTTCTGGAGGAGCATACTCGGATGTTTGTTCAGCTCTGAAATACAGAAAAAAACACCAAAAGTTAAAATTGCAACAAGAAGCTGAAAGAGAGCCCCTATAACAACTCCTTAACACTGGAATCATGTACAAAATAGAAAGGCATTATGTGTAAAAGCGAAAATGCCTCCATGCGACATTGGGGGCAATATATCTAATATAGAGGGAAAATTGTCAGTAGGATAATTCAATACCGAGAAGGTCCAACGGAGCCGTATAAGTGCTTCAATGTGAACTCATCCATTGCACTGCCAAAGTCTATAATGCGCCTGCCAAATAACAGAGAGAAGGTATCATTTTCCAAATGCAATAACTAGGTTTAACTCTAATAAAAATGGAGGATCCGACTCCACTATAGACAGAGAGTTGAAAACAATAATATAAAAAGGAAAAGGATAGGAGGACCATATAATGTGAAGTACATTTTAGTAGTGTAATTCTTATCTCCAATTGGGCTTTCTCTCAAGCATCTCCCTGATTCTTCATCTTCAAAGCAGATGATCATGTTTTCTTACAAGATGAAATATACAACATTCTCAATTAGCATTTCAAATAAACCAGTTGCTCAACGCATGGTGATGGATATGTTCTTACCAGGTTTGATATCTCTATGAGTGATATTCCGATCATGGCAGGACTTGAGTGCCATCAGCTGAGAATGAGGTAACAAGTATTACATGAAGCTTTTTTGTGCAATGCTATGAAGAAAAAGAGAAGGTTATGATGTGATTGATGAGATAACAGGCTTGCTTCTTAATGACTAATGCTATCCATTTTCTAACGATTCATCTGTGAAATTTGGATTGACTGCTGCTGAAATATGTGGTCTCAGAAGTCAAAAAATCATTATCAGTTGCCCAGATCCGACCAAAACTTGCATTTGTTACACCAATACAACATCTAAGAATGTAAACTCGTCCACACACAAAGTTCAAATTCAACAAAAGCGGAGTAGATGAAAACATTACTATACCAATTGCCATATAATGTTACGCATTTCCTCTTGCCCTGCTTCTGTTGTCTTCAACCAATGCCACCATTTTGAAGGATGCAGTAACTGCACACGCTTCTTGTGTTCATCCCTTTCCTTGTCAGCATCAAGAACCACTTCTTCAGCTGTATAAAGAAGTTTTGACAATGACACGCCTTCATGACAAAAGACAAGCCATATTTCATTAGATCGTGACTCAAACGATTCAATATATCTCGCAATATGATTCAGCCCTTCTTCAAAAGCAGCTCCAATCTTCCTTCTTTTCTTAAAAAGCATATCCTCAACACTCAAAGGGTCCTCAGTTTCTTCCTCGACTGATTTATTTGTTTGCATGAAGCCATATACTTCTGATTGCCTTTTTTTCCAGGAAAAATCTGACACTTGTACCGATAGAGAACCACTTATAGAAGTAGAAGCATTTAAGAAAATTTCGCCAAAATACTTCTCCCTTAGCCCACTCAGGTATACAGCAACTCCCCTCTCCACCTGCTTGCATCAACTGCTCAATTTCATGAATCGATCCAGCCGTTCAGAATTAAATTAACTAGGAAAATTTCCACCTTATCTAATTAATTTACAAGAGAAAAATTGATAATAAGAACATATCATTTAGGACATTACTATGATTTCACCTCATAATGATGAATATCTGGGACACTGCTAAACATAGAATGGTAAAAGAGTAACAGCCAAAATTGGACAGGTGATCGTGTAGTGATTTTCAGAATTTCTACCATTTGCACAACTAAAATGATTCCTACAATCTAAGCAAGATAGGAAAAAATACGCTACTTGATGAAGCGTGATTATTTAAAATTTGGCAGCAAGATCATAAAGTCAGAAAGAGACAGTATTTCACATTGTTTGTCATTCTTTTCCTCTGTAAATCATTTCTGCCAGGGGCAGCACCAACTGGTGTCTAGTGGGGCAGTTGCTCCCACTAGATTTTGGCAAGTGGACCCCACCTATATATTAAATTCTTGCCTGCAAATCTCAATTCAGTGATATGCATCGTAACTATGAAAATGAAGATACATGTTGATGCTGTGGACCAAATCATTTCATTTGCTCTTAAACTTTAAAGTGAAGTGCTTATAATCATAAGCACATAGAAATGTAAAATAAGACAAGTAATAAGGCAATAAGAAATGACACTCGTGTTTGAAGATTTACCATTATACGTTTCAGAATGTACATATTATTGGATAGACTAGCATTGCAATCATCAGAAAATGAACTTCTGTGGAGATTTTCATCATATGCCCCCAGATGTATAGTTTTGGGTGGAAGATTTTTTTCCTTGTGCCTTCTTTCTGAAGCCTTGTCAAGATGAGAACAATTCCAATGAAAAGCAAGCCAAACTTCTCCATATGATCCACGGTCAAATCGCTTCTTTAGTATGTACCTATTTATGAGGGTATTTCATATACAAGACTAAATTATAACCCACGATCAAAATATCACAACTAAAAGTAGGTTCAATGCAAGAAGCTATGACAATGTCAAGCATCATTGATCTTAGAGCAGCCCTTCAACACAACTCTTTTCATGACTCCCGCATTTCATGCAAGATAGTTTCTATCTCCACAGATCATCATAAACCAGTGGATGAACTCCAGCTTAGGAAGAACTTTTTGACCAGAAGAAATCTTACTGGACCCACGGGCATAACAAATAATTTGGTCAAGAACTAAGGTAATATCAAAGAGAACCTGATCATTAGTAAAATCCTTGACTAATAGCTCAAAATTATAAATAATTGTATGCTCAATAATAGCAAGTTATTAGTCAAGAAAACGTATTATACTTTTCCACTTCTAGAGTTGAGACAATAGTGAAATTGTATATTCCTTAAACACCTTATCTGTTAAAGGCTTACTATCACAACATATATCTCCATTGGTAAAACAGCTAACCAAGAGAAAGGCTAAAATTCTTAAATATCTAGATCTAGACATAAATGAGGTATCAATTATTCAATAAACACAAACTTAGTCAAATTGTTTTTCTATAGCAATAAAACAAAGCGGCAACATGAGCAAAAAATTTCACTGAAAAATGAATGTACCTTGAGTCTGGTGTTCCATGATCATTTAGACCAGTATGATGGAAAGGAATTGATTCCAGAAAACCGAGAAATCTTGCAAAATTTTCGGAGTTTATGCATTGATCCTTATCCCCATCAGCAGATATTCCATAATGCACATGCATAAGTTGATCGTTATATAAATTCAAAGGCCCATCTGCATCAGTAAAGAATGATAGGAATTTCAATTATAACTAATATATGCAAATATATAGCCATTGAAACAACTTGATCTACTTGTCACAGAAAGCATGTATGTTGTCAACATATAAAAACAGACTTTCCCTCTCTCATTGTGAATTGGCAAAATATCGGACCTAAAAACTTATGAAACAGGTCGCCAGTGAACAATATTAGCTACTTTCCCCCTTCTTCCAATGTCCATTTCTATTTTTTATTTTTTGTAGAGGTAAGAAACCCATGCATATGATTGCGAGACTCAAAAGAAAAAGAGGTTGTTTTGGCACAGGAGCTACTTAAAATTTCAAATATGACCATCGTTCTTACCATCACAAAAGAAATCACCACCAGGTAAAGCGTGAGGTAGGTCGTATATAGATTCTTGGTCATCTTTTTGAACCCAAAATGTGTAATCGTCATTCACATCTAGGTTCTCGGATAGATAATAACATCCAAAGTCGCTGTGTTTTCCTTCAACCTGCAGCAAGAGAAAAGACCAACAATATCATCAAACCCATCGTTCATCACAAAACTTGACAATTTATTAAATTTGAGCAATACACGATGAGTGCGGCCAACCATGATACTTACATTCATGACTCAGTGAAAACTTTCACATCTAACAATACCCAGGGATAATCAAACATGGAGTGCCATCAAACAAATAGCGGATCATAGAAACTCACTCTGACTAGTCGGTTAGCTATATAACAAGGAATTGATTAGTTAAAAAGGGTAACTCCTACAGATAACATCCAACAAATTAGTTGATATCCAGGAAATAAAATTCTTTGATATTACAAATGTAATCCTCTTACAGCTCTCTGATATATATATATATATATATTCCCTTTCTTTTTGAATGTGAAATTGATAAAGGAAAATGTGAATAACACCAACATTGATATAAGGTTTTGTAGCATGAGCAACGTTCTTATTCTTTTTTATTATTTTATTGTTAGGTATATGACACCAATTGTATTGTTAGTCACAGTTTATAAAACTTGATGACAATAGGGTGAAGATAAGAATAGGGACTCAATCTAGTAACTATGTAATCAAGAAAGTGAAAATAGGTCTGATTGTATAGAACATATTGCAAAGACAAGTATTACATCCCCCAAACCGACTTTCCCTAAGCTGTCATCAAATATAATCAACAAGAAAATGGAGCCAATAACAAATACTGAAGTCCCACAAGGTTTCAAGGACATGAAACCAAGCGAATATCATGGTGGCAATAGGATAATGTTCAACTTCTGTAAAACCCATCATATACTCATTATACATACAAAGATACACCCTGTATAAATTTCCCACATTGTCTGTAACCACATTCCCAAGGAAAAGACTTTAACGCTCTCCATTTATTCCTCTCCCTCTTGCTCTCACCATTGAAATTTACTAGCACCTTCAAGCATATGACCATGCCTTTTTCCAAACATCTCATTGACTCGTTTATGAATGCATGCACAAACGGGTTGCAATAACTACTAGCTCAGCCGAGTAAAAACATTTTCCAAGACAACTATTGTATAATAATATATACTTCATTAAAATAGTGATACTTCACATTTTAACGGAGCTATGACCTAGAAATCTCCACTTAGTGGTTGCCAGTTGCGCAAAGTGCAAGACTTGGGATTGGGATGGGATCAGCGTCTAAGTTCATGGTCATAACTGGAAAAAGGTTTCCATAGCAATCACCAATGCATATCCAAATAATACAAAATTCAATCTCATAAAATCGTATCTCATTATACATAAACATTAATATAAAAACTTTCATCACACGTCTAAAAGCTGGTGACTGACTGAATATTTGAAGCCAGCAAGAAGAGTAGCCAAAAACAGAAAGGGGACAAGAGTTAACTTTCTTGTGTAAGTATTACCAACAATCTGTCAAACTCGGCAATGACCGGATGAGAGTGCTCCAATCCAATGAGTGCCGAAGTGTTGTCATTACCTAACAATACAGTAAAGAAAGATTATCATGTTATTAAACAGATACTTCAAAGGAAAAAAAGGGCGCAAGAGAAAGTACGGATTCAATATAAAAAGGAATGGTCAATGCCAAAAGAACACGATAAGTTGCTGAAACAACACATCTACCACACAACCAGCAGTTACTAAAAACATGGATCAAGTGGAAAGGAAAAGCCTTTAATTGCCCAAATAAGCATATGAAAGAGATCCACGTCCATGTGAAAAACATGTCTCAACTGTAGTAATTAAACGTTGCCAACAAACTTGGTTTGGGATACATTGCGCTTTTAAAAATTGGAATTTTACTCTTGTCAACAGGAGAATATTATGAAGGGGACATGTCATTTAGCTTAAGTTGATATTCACTCATGGGGTAGAAACTTTTTTACCATGGCCATGGCAGGGGATATGGCATAAAGTAGCATTTGTATTTAGGCATGTCCTTCACAAAATTAAAGCATCAGAAAGCAAGGAAGTATAAGGAGTTTGACATTCACCAAAACCATCAAAACAAATTAATTGTGAGGAGAGAGGGAGATCTGAACTCTTGCCTAATTTTGTTTTTTACAAAGATATCCCAAGAAAACCTAACTTTCTTTCTTTGAGTTTCCTACTTGAAACAATCCAGATTTGCTTCGGGAGCCAAAGAACAGAGAAATTACCTAAATTGTCATCTTTCTGTCTCTGATATCCGAGAGGCGAGTAATCAAATTTATCCTCTCTATCACTTCTGTCCTTCAACAGAGTTTGAAATGGAACCAGTGATCTCAAAGGAAGAATTGTAGCCGCCAAGTTATCCATACTTCCTTTCTCAAACGCAGTATTTACTATGCAATCAGCTAATGAGTATGAGCAAGAAGAAGAGGATTCTGATGTCACAGTGATATCAGAATGTGGTTCCGACAAAATATCACAAATGTCCTGTGGGCTTAGCTTGTCAAAAACACCATCGGATGCAGCAATCAAATAGCTTTCGTTGACTGACAAAGGTTGCCAATCTGTCACCTCAGGTACAGATATTACGCCATAACTGACAACATATTGACACCATATGAGATATTGCACCTCCATTCCTTTTTATTAGGAAAAATCACGAAGTGATAAGTGCAAATGAATCTGTAGAACTAGTTGTTTGGTTGAAAAACCTATCACATGGTTTTGTAAGCATAATCTATCTGGAAAAGGACAAATACAGAATAAAGGTAATGAATCTCGCCTTTTAAAATGAATATCGCCGATTGCTCTGGAAACAGCCAACTGTCCATTAACTCGAGCGACACCACCCCAGTTAGAGATGTGTCCTCCAAAAGATTCAACTCGAGATCTTTCATCATCTCTGTCTGGATGGTGATCTCTTGTCAGTTCCTTAGCCATCAAAACAATCCACCCATTGGAGGCAGCTGATTTTAAGCTACGGTACTCTTTCATGGGTGAAGGAGCACCATCGTTTCTTCTCTGTCTGAAAATCCGTAATAAAGTTGCTGCAATTTGTACGATCAAGGAAATTCGAAACTGTCATAATTCAATCAATTCCAAGTGAAGAAGTTTTATTCACCTAGTGTATGCAAATGAAAGCCTAATAGTAAAAGCTAGTAATAAAGGTCCTGCTCTTCTAGAACTCGAAAAAGAAGCAACTTAGGTCTGACCTTTAGCCTCAGAAGGAGACTGATATACTTCAGAGCACAAAAAAGCTTTCGAGTCTCCAATATTAGCAACTAGAATTTGACTATCTGCCACAAGTATTACTGTAGCTGTGGTGCCTGAATTGACATTCTTTGTAGATGCATCCTTCAGAAGTAAAATAGTAACATAAAGCAAAGAGTAGAATTACTAATTCATAAATCACCATTTTCAAAAGAAAAAAGACAGACAAATCCACAAAAACTCACCTTAGAAAATGCTGCATCAATATCATGGATTGCCCTAAGCAATGCTTCTCTCAATATTTCAAAGGGAAAAAGTCCATCTAAAATTTCCGATAATGTCACTTTGAACCTGGATAGAGGTTTGTAATTTATTTCCAGGCCCACGTACACACTTCTTTTAAAAATCACAAATTACATGCCTCATAGAGTACCTTTAAATCTAAACTAACATATCAGTCGAAACCAAAAAGCATGAATATGTTCCCAAATATGATATAAACTCCATACGTAAATTCTAATGAGAGTAGTGTCCAACTAAAACAAAAAAATTACAATATTGATTGCTCACTTCCAAAAGTCATCAAAAACAGTTTCCTGTCAGTGTTGTTAACTACGTCTTTTTCCGATACAATGATTCAAGATAAAAGGGAAGTTCTAAATACAATTATTAGATAAACTATGTTTTATCGTACTGGGTATTGGGCGTTAGCATGCAAAAATGTCCATAAGATAAACATAGAAGACAATGTGTGGCAATAATAAAATGACAAGGAAAGAAGATATATGCAACGAGTGGAAGTGGCATTAATTGAGGATAAAAATAAAAAAGGAAGACATGGGTGGCTGGGACATATTTTGTGCAAAGCTAAAAACACTCAGTCCCTAGAACGATAAGATCCCACTAGAACAAGTTAGACCAGGGAAGAAAGGCCAAAATTAATATGATTTAATTGCATGGCAGAGATCTGGTTTTGTTGGATGTAGTGATGAATCAAATGGCTGAATAAAATTGATTCATGAAGCAACCTCAAATTTATTGGTAAAGTTGTTCTCATTCTTGTTAATATAGTGGTCCAAGTATAAGGTTGTTGAGTTGTCAGCTACCAACTATTAGCATAATGAAACAGCGTGTGCAGTGGTATCCAACAGTTGCATAGTTGGTGTAAAGCTTGGATATATACAAAATGAAAATCCCTTTCCCTATCAAATAAAAACGAGATTGCGTTGACATAAATTCCTATTATGAAATTTTCTTCCAATTTGCATTTTAAGAAATGTTGATTAAAAAATTCAACAGTTACTGTATAGTCATATGACAAATTACTCCAGTGCTTTATATACTCAAGCTATAAATAGGCTTCAGAAGATTGGTATTTGCTCAGGCTTGATAGCTCTTTTACAATGTAAAATAAGCTAAGCTCGACGGATTTAAGCTTATAAATTTCCTAGCTGCTTGTTGAGTTAATAAAGGGAAAATATATGGTAAATTTGCCTAAGCTTCTTGAGCTTCAAATTAAATTGTCAAAACCTGTAATATCAACTCTAACGGTATACAAAAGTATCTTGATAAATTTTTAAAGATCATTTTAAGGTATTAAAATGTCTTAGCACATTAAAGCTTGGTATGTCTTCACCCTAACTCACTGACATTGTAACTTCAATAAATAGGCAACAACAATGAGCATTTTCCATAAGCGAATAAAAGAGAAGAAAGACCTTCCAAGATCTAGCTCCTCGTCCAGCTTTGGCTTTTGAAAAACAAGACCCTCGTCTCCTGTATTTGGCAGCTTTCCCATCCATTTCCTTGATAAAAAGGAATATGTTGTATCGAGCAAGAAATAAGTATGCAAACTAAAATACTCTAACAATAATTTCGAAGCCGCTTCACTAGCTTCCGCTCCATTATGCCCATCAAAAACCGCCATAATTCCAACTGTCACCTCCTTAATACCATCAGCACCTGATTCAATACAAAAATTTAGCACCAAATTTTTATCAGGAGACACATATTTCTATCCCTGTAGTTAATTTATATTTCAATTTTACACAGATCAATTTTTTTTACCGGGAAAAGGAATACGGATGTCGAGAGCGCATAGGACGCGATCCTCCTGAGACTTACGGCGCCCTTGGTGCATCGCCAATTGACAATTGGCAGTCGGTGATTGGGACTGCTGTTTGGGGTCGGAGTTGTAATTTGAAAGCTTCCAGCGAGGGCATTTAGGGGATTGGAACACCGCCGGTGCGCCGCCTTCTCTGTACACCGTTAAGCAGGTCGGCGATTCGCCGGAAACACCAGTGTTCACGCAAAGAACAAACCCTAGCAGTAAGAAGAATATGCACTTGATAAGGTTCATTTTCTGATTTTGAATGTGAAATTGGAATTTTGCAGAAAAAGAGTTCGAAAGAAAATTGATTCGCGCGGTCGATTTAAGACATGCGAGTCTTTTATAGGTTGTAGGTCCGGTTGACCCGAATGAAATCGGGCTGAACAAGTAACTATTCTGCAGTGAAAATTGCATTGTGAACCCATAATTTGTTTGAATTGTATCGAGTTGGTCTATATACTTTTATCAAAGTATGTTCATTGACTTTTTATGTTTTCAGCAATCTATTAAAAAAATTAGTACACTCTAATAAAAATAAAACTTGACGACCATCATCTTTTAAATACATTAGTGAAATAAATAATGGTCATCTTGTTTTTACTGTCATGATATTCATTCAACTAGTTGAAAATGACGAGATTGGATGAAATTATTTGATAGTAATTATTCAATGGGAAAATTGATACAACGGTTCCTAACTTTTCACTTTTTTACTGACTTTACCATAACTTTCAATTTGTGCCAGTGAAGGTTTCAAACCTTTGAAAAATTAGTAGCAGATGTCCAAATTGATGGAAACCGTCCGTTTGATCGTTAATTAACCAAAAAAATTAATTTTATCCAAATATAAGAAGGACAAAATGGAAACAGTTCGACGGCATTGCCAACCACCAATATATGTGGGAGTGGGGAAGAAGGAAGTTGATGGATTTCTGTTTTAAGGGTGCCGATCATCGGCCTTTATGTTTTTCATGAGCGTAAGTGGGGTAGGGGTGTGGGGGTGGGTATAGATTTTATTTTATTATTTTAACTGTCAATATTTGAAAACATGCAAACTTACCATTTTGTAGGGATGACAAAAAAAGCTTGTCGGTTTCAGCTCGAAACAAGCTAGAGCTGGGCCTGGCTCAGGCTCGATTCCACCGAACCCTAGAAAAAAAAGTAAAATAAAATAAAATAATTAATTTTAGTTGCCTATAGGCAGCTATGTGACCGCCTGCGTTTTGCAGGCACGTTTTGTCATTTTTATATTTGGATAAAATTAATTTTTTCAGTCAACTAACGGTAAAATGGACGGTTTCCATTCATTTGGATCTCTACTACTAATTTTTCATAGATTTAGAACCACTGGCACACATTAAAATTTAGGATAAAGTCTACAAAAAATTGAAAGTTTAGAGACCGTTGCTATAATTTTTCTTTATTCAATTGAACACAATTAAAGAATAATGACATAATTGACACTAAATAATAATATAATTATCGTGAATGAAATTTACACTTAAGCACTCGTTTGGCCTCCATTATTTGATGTTATAATTTTTGAAATAGTGCTTATTTAGAGAATGTGTGACAAAAGAAGGAAAGGTTTATGGTTTATTTATAATGTTATTTTATTGAAAAATGAGTGGTTAAAAATAAGAGAAAAAAATTTATTATAAATTTGATGGGTGCCAATGGGGGGCTAAGTTAGATAGGTTTAGTAAACTGACAAGTAAACAAGATATAAATATAGCGACTAAAATTGTTGTTTTCATTATGATTATATTATTTCAAGATTCCAATGGAACTATGATCGTTTGCAACAAAATGGTATACAAAGTCAATAGATCTCAATGAAGATAATAGGATTTATGGCTAAACTATTGAGAACAATTACAGATCTGGTCCAAGACTAACTACTATAAGAAGTTTATTAAAACCAAGGAATTCTGTATATGGCAAAGTAGCTCTCGAGTGGAGAACAACTCCTTTGATGGATGTTGCAAGGGTTCCATTTGCGGTATTTCTATTTTATTGGATGGAGTTTCAATGGACTAAATCTATAAGAACCACAAGTCCAACTTTTTTATTACCTATAATTGATGTGATAAATAACAAGGAAAATTTGATTAAAATAAATAATTAAATGAGTAAATAAGATTACAAGTAAAATTTTACTTTAAAAGTCTCTGATTAATAAAAACTTGCTTATACAAGAGAAAAATTATTGAGATTAAGGATTCAAGTATTGGGTACATCACCTCTCCCCATTCTCCACTCCAAGCCCATTTGTAAGGCCCAAGGTGCAAGATTGAGAAATAGCTACATGGGCCTACTTTCTAATACACGCGAGTATATATACATGCATGCCATAATTTTTATTTTTTACAAAAGTTAATTTAATAGAAGTTAAACTTGTATTTATAGTCGTTCCTTAACAAAAATATTTCTGGAAAAATTCAGCCAACCCATGTTCAATTGAACTGACGAGTTATTAGGGAGTTGAGATTTGTTCATCATTTTAGTTGTCTTCTCACAGAATGTTTGATAGCTCGACATGTCATTTCTCCTTAACAAAGGAAAATACGTCATTTTAAAACTGATCACTTGTAGTGTATTGTGTTGGTAGATGTGGCAATCGAGTTGAGCGGCTCGTCGGCCCGTGAACAACTCAAGCTCATCAAAAGAAGAGCCTGAGCCAGCAATCTGGCTCGCTAGGTGAGCCGAGGCTCGTTGTTTTGACGAACGGTTCGTGGTCGAGCCACAAGCTCGTAAAAAATGTGAGAGAAAAAAAAACCATGAGCTCGTGGGAAGATGGGCCAAGTCGGCTCGGCTCAGCCCATTGTCACCACTATGTGTTGGCATCTTCACATTTGCAAACTTCATTATTCCTTTCTTCTACCTACTCAATGAAATAGATTTCTTGTTCCTATATCAAAAAGGGCAAGATATGTGTTTGAATATCCAGTTTAATTTTTTTTTTAGAGGCTTTGCGATGAATGGTTTTTTTTGAGAGGCTTTGCGATGAATGGTATAAAATGAAAACAAAGAGAAGTATGTACATTGTCACGCTTGTCACCTTCCAAAAGATGCCAAGAGGATGGATAGACAACGACTCAACAATAGAATTCCCCATTGGCCGGGGACAAGAGATGGTGATTTCGTTGTACATCACATTCTACAGGCAACCTCGACAAACTCAGAGAAGGCAACTCGATTGGAAGTTAGAATAGCCACGATACTTGCACCCTTCCATACTCGATATTCATTTTTTTAAGTTTAGCGACGAATCGTATAAAATAAAATATAAGATTTTAAATAAAAAAAAAGTTAGAGTGCGTTTGATTGGCATGAAAAAATATATCCTAAAAAAATATATATTTTCCTTAAAAAAAGGAAAATTAGACATATTTTTAAAAATTGAAAAATATTTTTCACGGAAAAAAAAAAAAATCGAACGCTGCACCTACGAATTTGGGTGGAAAATTAACATTTTTAATGAAAAATAAATATAATCAAACACACGTCTTTAGTAAAATATGATGCACCTAAAATAATTATAGAAGAAAAAAGCATTGGATGTAGTTATTTAAGTAAAGTGTTGTTGTATATGCTCAATCAAAAAGTGATTAGATTCTTGAATATACGTGTACATAGGAACAAAAGTAAGAATCAGAAAGAAATGATTAGAAGCCCCGTCAACTAAACTATTTTTTTCTCAAATGAGATGCTATATTTTATCATAGTTTTGTACTAAAACCACAAAGTATATTATCAGCAGATATCCACATGGAAGAGAATCGTCGAATGTTCGGTCCAATTGTGTATAAGCTGTGATCGCATCCGATTTAACCTGAGTGACGAACCAGGGGGAAAGGCAGTTACTCCTCTGGATTAGTTGGACAAAACTTGGAAATCCGAGTCATAAAAAAAAAGTATTAATCTAAATGTTTTTTTTAAAAAAATAGATTAATTTCTAAAGGTGAAAATAAGTTATTAAAACCTCATAGCCTTATCTGAAAAGAGAAAAGAAGAAGATGAATCTGAAATAAAGCTATCCTGAATGAAACCACATGATAAAAGAAGAACATAGGATTCCAAAATTTTCAAGAGCCAATTTGAATCTATAAGATATACATCAATTGGCAAAGTATGTGTAGATGGGTCCTTATTTTTTTGCATTCTAATGCTCATGCATTGTTCATATGGACTGGTTGGTAGATAATCAATTGCTTATTTGAATATAAGTCAATTATTGCTCGTTCGGTATTTTATAGTATCAAAGAAAAAAGTTCAATTATTGTTCATTTCAATGTTACGAAAGAGATAAAAATGCATATAAGTATGGAGATGATGGAAGAACATTGGACTATGCAATTAATTCAAAATTAAGTTGAAAACATAATCACTAATAGATTTCGAGTTGTATCTTAATCCTTTTATTGATAAATATCAAGAACAGTAAGGAAGTGTTTATAAACGATTCAAATTATAAATAAATAAAAAGGAATGATGAATAACTGAATAATGCTTATCAATCGTTCGAAATGATTGAATAAAAAATGACTTAAATGTTTATAAAGACGAGTCAAATAGTGAAATAGACAGATGTGATTGGATTATGAATCCAAAGCCAAAACGTCATCTGAAGCATAAAAAAACTTTAAATCCCTCATCAATATATCATTATCTTTGTCTTCATCGTCATCATCATCATCTTCTCCGACAAGACATAGAAAAACAAAATAATTACAACTTTTCTTGTAAGAATTATGATTTAATTACGAATAAATCTTTGATGGGTTATGGGAAAATTTCATAGTCAAAACATACAACTCAATCATGATAGAAAAGTAGGTATAAGCGCCTGATGATCATGTCTCTCACTTTGCCTTTAGCTTTTGAGGCCTTTTTTTGTGGTGAATTGGGTGGTGATTTACCACCATATTTGTAAAGTTTTTTGAGCTTCTGATTTTAGTGGTTGTTTGACAAAGTTTCCGATAAAATTTTTAGTAATTTCTGATAAAAACTTATGAAATACATGGTCGTAAAGTCGATAAAAATTGAGAGTTACGTTAAATGTATGATTGCAATTAATTGTTGATTTTAACCTCAATTTTTTTTTTTTTCAAAAAACAAGCACTCGATAGACAATTTCTCCTTTTAGTGCGTCATTCTAATCAAATGAAGGGTCTTTTAAGATTTGGGTGTTTTATAACAGGAATGAAAGAAAAGACAGAAAGTGATAATAATGTCAGAACATCAAAGTAATTTTTTTTTTTTTTGAAAAATAAGTTGAAAGAAATAAATTATGAGTGATTCTTCATAATTTTTGCTTAATTTAGAAACTCCACTGTCCACTCTACCCCACTCCACTTTGCAGAATTAGAGTGTGTTTGAGACATATTTTTTTGAAAGAATGTATTATCGAATAGGAGATTGATGGAGAATGTGTGGTTAGAAATGAAGGAAAAGTTATTGATGTGATGGAAAATATTATTTTATTGAAGAATGTGTAGTTAAAAATGAGTAGAAAAATGAGAATGAAAAAAATAATGTGTATCAAACAGGGCCTTACTATCTTTTCTTATGTGGGATTTCTTCATGTTTTCGTATGCTCAAATAAAAAATGCCCGTTGGATCTGAAACCATAAAAATGTTAGAAAATAAATACATTTATTTATTAAAATTTTCTTTTCGACACATCATTTCAATTACATGAAAATCAAATTTATTTTTCTATTAAAGAAACCATACGTAATGATTTCACGAATTATTAATAATGAGACTCGAGCTCAAACTTCGTCGAGTCTTCAAAGAACTTAATTTTGAAAAAAAAAATTAAAAAAAAACATATATATTTATCTAGATTAAAATTTAGAGGGTGTTTGGTGGTGATTAAAATTAGATTTTTTGTAAATTGTGATAGAAATTTTTGAAATATGTGGTTGAAAAGTTGTGGAATCCATGAAAAATGTAATTAATATTAATTGTTTGATTTTCACTTGAATTAAAATCAAATTTTAATTCGGACCAAACAGGAGCTTAGTCATCTATCCACAAGTATGCCATTGTACTCATCACTATCGGAGTACACTATTTATATATATTAGAGCATTTTCAACGATGGTGTAAATTTGTATATAAATTGGTATTTTTAAAACCACTTTTGATATATATATATATATATTACGTTTTTTGCTGGTAAATATAATTTATATTTCATTTGCATCTCTCAATTGGATAGGTTTTCGATAACTTTAAAAATTTAAATCACAATTTAAATATATTTTACACAGGTGCTGATTTCCCTTTATAATACTATTTTACTTTAGTTCACACGTAGCTATACTTGTATATATAGCCACATAGGACAGGCTCATTAATTGGACAGTGAGGAGGTTTTAATAGGCAAGTAAACCATCATGCTGTCTGTTTCTTTCCGTGCTTCTGAATGCATGGCAAGCTTGTAAACAGATTTCTAAATTCTATTCTCCAAATTCTGATACAAGCAATCCACGGTTAAGATTCCTCTGAATTTCATCAATAATCATCAAAATATTTTTCCTTTGAAAATCTTGATAATCAGATTTTAGGGATTCCTTTAATCTGCCTGAATTGCACTGCCACTTGTGGTCTGAACCATCACCCCCACAGCCACTGCTTAGTTATACCTAGCAATTTCTGTACTGTTTTTCTTCCACCTGTTGTTTGTAGTTTGAGGGACTTAAAGGGTATTTGTTACAAGTGTTATAGTAAAAACAAACAAAGAAATCAGAATTAGGTGGGTTTTTTTTGTAGTTTCTCTCTCTGATTCTTGTTCTTCATTATCCAGATTTGATTTTATTCTCTTCTTTTTTGTGCTCAGAAGCCATGTTTCCTGCAGTTATGTCCAATTCAAACTCTCTTTCTGAAGAAGCTAGTGTTTCTTCTGGGCCTAGGGTTCATGAATTTGGCTGCAGCTTTAATCCAATGATACAAACACAATCCATTTCTACTCAGCAGCCACAGAAAATCAAGAAGAAGAGAAACCTCCCAGGAAATCCTGGTAAAAGTTTATTAATCATTTCACAAGATTTAAAACAGAGTTTTATGACACCGATTTGCTAAAGATCTGGTTATTTCAGATCGATCTAAGTGATGAAAGGGTTTATGTAGCGATCCTAAAATTTACCGGGTAGTTTTCTTGATTTAAATTTAATTAATTATGTTTTACATGGTGAAAATTGCAGACCCAGATGCTGAAGTGATTGCATTATCTCCAAAAACCCTTTTGGCCACAAACAGATTTGTTTGTGAGATTTGCAGCAGGGGTTTTCAGAGAGATCAGAATCTGCAGCTTCACAGAAGAGGTCACAGTCTTCCTTGGAAACTTAAACAAAGAGACAGCAAAGAGAACAGGAAGAGGGTTTATGTGTGTCCTGAGCCTACATGTGTTCATAGCCACCCCTCGAGGGCTCTTGGGGACCTTACAGGAATTAAGAAACATTACTGCAGAAAACATGGGGAGAAGAAATGGAAATGTGAAAAATGTTCAAAGATTTATGCTGTTCAATCAGACTGGAAAGCACACTCAAAAACCTGTGGAACAAGAGAATACAGGTGTGACTGTGGAACCCTTTTCTCCAGGTAAGAATCTTTCTTTCTTTTTTTTTCCCACTTTTTTTTATTGGATCTTTACATGATTTGTCCTTTTTTATCTTCGGGTTCCCAATTTTCCAATGTTCATTAATCATCTGGAAGTCTGATAAGACTTATACTGGATTCTTGTTTTTATCTTTGTATATAATCTATTAGTTAATATTCTTAAATTGCAGGTTTTATGTCAATATTTAGGAGCTGTTAAGATTGAACAGTAAGCAACCATTTCCATGCAAGGGTTCTGTTTATCCTTTTTGAACTTTTGCTAGTGGTTTTACTACACTTACATCGTAGTTCACAGCTTTGTTTACATTCCATGATGTGACACACATTTTTGTTATTAAGGGAAATTGGGCCCTACACAGGAGATTCGAAATTCAAAAATGATGGTTTGATGTGATGAATAACGATCATATTTTTCATTTTTATTGATGAAAAATGAGAAACAAACATAATGAAATGTCATACATGATATACAAAAATAATGTATTGGTAGCTTACTAGTACAATTGGTCTGGGAACAAAGACAGGTCCCAAAAACAATGATGAATTTCTATTCTTAAGTCTACAAGGGAAATTATAGAATCTTGAATGCGTAGTTCAGAATCCCATGGGTGGGGTGGGGGCTCTTGTTTACTGGCAAAGGCTGTGAAAAATATTCTGAACTTATATTGTCATCATAACTGTGGTAGTGTTGAGTTGTTTTCTTTCTTTGCTTCTGATCTTCACCAAAAGTATGCAATTTAAGATTGGATTTTATGAGGTGTACACGCACACACACATGTATGTGTGGAGTGGGGTGCGTGCGTGCACGATCGAGAAGACATCAATTCCTAGAAACTTTCAGACATCATCAGTGTCTCTTATTTTTGCATGAGTAAACATTAGTCAACTATCCTCTCTCTCTCTCTCACACACACACATACCCAAAATCAAGCACTTTGGAGTTTGGACACAATTATGAGCTACAAAGATAAGCTTTATTAAGACTTTTTAACCTGTCCAAAGTCCAATCTCTCCGTGATATCCTAACAATATTTTTCTAATATTTTTGTAACAGTAATGTAAAATGAAATTAACAAGAATGTCTAATTACATTAACCTAGGACATGGTTCTGTAAGGAGCTAGTAACCATAGCATTGTCTCTTTCAAATTCTGTCTACAAGCATAAAATATTTGATATGCAGAATTTGAATTGAACTTGTTCTTGAAAATCAATTTTCTCCAAAATCGTCGAAGTTTGCTTTTTTACATTTTAACCACGCATTCTCCAAAAAAAATAATTTGTCACTTGAAAAAATCTCTACTACAAAATTTCCTTTCGTTTGTCTTTGTTTAGAACTAAACGTCTAGTGCCAAAATGCATGTAAAAGAAATCACGGGAGACCCTTTGTGATGGAAAATCTTTTGTGTTCTGCAGGAAGGATAGCTTCATAACCCACAGAGCATTTTGTGATGCTTTAGCAGAAGAAACTGCTAGACTCTCTGCAGCCAACTCAATCTTGGCCTCCGGACAAAACCCTAATAATGAACAACCGCCACCGCACACGGCGGCGACATTCCATTTCAACCACCAAAACCCTTCTTCTCTCTTTTCCTTCTCCGCCCAACAGCGCCACTTCCCAAACCCGCCACCCCACATCAACCTCCTTCACCCCTACTGGGACCCACCTCAAAACCATAACCCTAATAACAATGTCCAAATCAAACCTGAATCCATCCACATTCCCCTCTCTTCACCATTTTACCAAGAACCACTCCACAAGGGACTGATGACGTCACCTTTCCATGGTCTCCACGTAAGCACCGGCGTAGCACCGCTCTCGGCCACCGCACTCCTCCAGAAGGCAGCAACTGTAGCTGCAGTACATTCTGTAGGTCACGTGAACTCCACCATGGCCCAGCTGGATATGGGTCACATGAAAACCACCGACGGGGGGTTCCCGACGGGGAATCTTGTCACGTGGCAGGAGACTGACCGCTTCACCAGAGACTTTCTTGGGCTGAAAGGTAACCACTGTGGTGGTGGCGGCAATAATGGCAGCTCGGGGAACCTACTATCCTACACCGGGGGTGTAGAATACCCTACATATGACCATGAACACTCACTATTGAAGCATCAGGGAGGATTTGGATTTGCTGAAACTGCTTCAGAAGGTGAACTGTTGAAGCTACACTGCATTACAGAGGGCTAATTCAGATGCTAAGAACATGAAGACTTCAATTTCCATTAATTTCCAGTTTTTGGTTTAAATATTAGACTGTATTTTATTCTCATAATTGCTTGTTTTCAAGTTTATTAAAGTACCTTTTTGGGTTATAATGATGCAAGACTTTGAGATGTTATCATTGTAGAATTTGCCTTAAAGCTAATGAGTATCTTAATTTTGTCTTCCTTTTGCTAACTTTAGGCGTCTTTCTTGATGTTTGATTACTTAAAAATAAGTCAAATTTATCTGTAAATTGCTTACTTTCGTGACATAATTTTAAAAGTACTTTTTCATAATAATAATAATCCAACTTTTAAAAGTAGGCTTTACTAATAGCATACAAAGTAGTAAACAGTACAAAGAGGGTAATAAAGTGTTAATTGCATTTGAAAACTAGCGAAAAGTAAGAAATGATGGAACTTCAATTTGATTATGATATATTTAAGCAAGAGGAAAAAAATTCATTTAAAAACTTAATTAGCTTTTATTTAAGTATTTTTTTTTTATCACAATTTCTAATTAATATCGTATTAATCTTAAATTAGACTAGAGATGGCAATTTTCCCCGCCCCGTCGATCCCCGCCCCAAATGGGGCAAAAAAACCTGCTCCGAACGGGTTGGCAGGGCAGGGCAGGGCGGGGCGAGGTTCTCCGCCCCGTAGCGGGTCGCGGGGCGGGGGGAAGTTGCCCCACCCCGTGAAGAATTTAAAAAAAAAAAAAAATTGTTTTGAACATTTTTTTGTTTCAAGTGCTTGATTTGAATATTGATATAGTTAATTTGTAAATTGTTTTGGACACTATTTGTTTTGGACATTTTTTTGTTTCAAGTGCTTGCTTTGAATATTGATATAGTTAGTTTGAACATTATTTGCTTTGGATTTTAAAATTTTGAATTTGTATTTTAAATAAAAATAAAAACAAATGGGGCAGGAAACGGGCCAAGTCCTTGCCCCGTACCCGCCCCGTACCCGCCCCGCCCCGCCCCCCGTCTAAGGCGGGGTGAGGGAGTGGCGTGGTGGGGCGGGGTGAGGTTGCCTTTCCTCGAACCCGCCCCATTGCCATCACTAAATTAGACTCCACTCCAACATTCTACATCAATTCCATGTATGGTTTAGTTAAAAAATTATTAAAATCTACAATTAATTTTAAACACGCATTCATGGAACTCATGGCTTCTCATCGAACTTGTAGTTTATCAATCACACGTTCCATCAACTTTTATCAAAATTTACTAGAAATCTATTTTTTATCTTAATCGAACTGAGTAATAGTCAAATCTACTTAGAAAGGCAAAGGTCGCAATTAGAAAAAAAGAAATAAAACTCATTTATCTTAGAAATAATTTTCTTTTATTATTATTTGTGATGAACCGATATACCATGAATCGCTTTTTTTAAAAAAGAAAAAAAAGTAGGAATACCATTAGAATATAAAATTCTTGAAGTCAGTGTCAAATATACCCTTCAGTCGATCATGCAAAGTAAACCGACTTAACTTACCAAATACGTTCGGTCGTTTAAGATATTTAAAATAGTATAGGCTCACTTCACTCTCTATTTTGAAAAACTAGAAATTCTTTCTCATCCCCTTAATATTTTTTAGGAAGCACTAAGAAAATTAAAATGATTTGATAAACCCAATGCCATATAGCCTTTTCTAAAGGGGCGAAGAGGCTGTAAAAATCCTGCTATAAGCGTGAGTATAAAGGTAACTATGTTGATGCTGTATGTGTTTTTGTGCAAGGGCTAGTGGTGGTCCGGGGACCTAGTGTGGTACAAAGACCCACAAAAGGAAAAGAGAGCAAATTAAAGATAAAAGATGATTGAAAATGTCAACGGTTATGAGAAAAAGATGCCCAATTTTCATTTCAAAGTTTAGAATTACCATTCCAAGTCTTCTTTTTCCAGGATTCTTAATATTCGAACCTTATAATTAAGCCCTTCCCATCGTAACCCGACCTGCAACACGACTAGTTGGTAATGAAACAAAATACACATGTAGGATATGTTCATTTTAAGTTCGCACAATCAAAGCGGGAAGAAATCTCTAGAATCTCGAATGATTGGTTCAACTTTAACATTGACAAAAACTAAAGTCATTTCACTTGAACGCGCAGATGTTCATGCAACTCGACGATAGTATAATATCAAAATATCATTATCGAAGAGTTGGATAATCATGTGCAAAGCAAAAAGGAAGAATGAATATTCAAGATTTTGGAGAAAAGAAAGGAATCATATTCCAAAGCAGAGAGTTAGCACATTGGTCTTGAGAAGTATATTCAGCGTCTCAAAAATAAGAAAAAAGTGAGAATTAAGATTGGACCAAAGAATAAAAATACTGGGATGTTTAAGTATATCCAGGCTTTTAGAAAGTAGTATATGTAAGTTGCAGGCCTAAGGTACAAATACATACCATTTGCCTAGCAGAAAAGACTGCCTCTTTCTCTCTTGCTCAGCCAGCACAACCAGACAAACAAAAAGCTTCTATTCTATTCCTCTCCCCCACCCCCATCCCCATTCCTCTATCTAAAAGACTTGCATATGTCATATTTCATCAGGGAATCTCATTTTTAAGGACCTATCTTTTATTCCTTTTCTTCTTTCTTCCAAAGCAAACAATTACTTAACCTTCTTTCTTATGCTTTTATCCCTTTTCCCCTACTGCTGCAAATCCCAATGTAAGTTGATACTCTTTCTTTTCCAGAAAAACCTTGAGTATCACTACAGCAATGGATAAAGGGAAAGCCAAATATCCAAGGCCAATTTCGACATAATACTGGTTAGGACAACCTCCCATAAACAAAAAACAAAAAGAAACAATTAAAGATATATGCATATTCTCTTAGCTTTTCAGATTCTTAAAAGTTATCTACGAATAAAGAAAATTCGGAAACTAAATTATCTGAAATCAACAACAATAGAATTAAAACTATTCTGCAGCAAAAATCAATAGTTTCTGAAAAAATTTTGACCAAGCAAAAGTTTAGAAAATTCACAAAGGAGACGCATCATTAGCTGAGATCACAACTAAAAAATGCAGGGATTCTGCAGAAATATGAAAAATTGTAGCTCAGGAAAAGATCATTCTAAAATCAATGGGCCATTAGGAGTGACGCACTAGCAATGATAATCAATAATGTCAAACTTCTTGGTCGAGTTGCAAATATTGGCATAAAATTTGGTATAAACAAAATTAATGTATATCTCATGAGACAAGACCTTAAATGACAAATTGGTCCACGTATGCAAGCATCACAACTTTTTCAATAAACTCTCTCTCTCTCTCTCTCATGCTTGATTGTCAACATGAAGACATTATTGACCAAATTATTGATAAACTTTAAACTCTCTTTATCTTTACATCCACATCAAATTAAGGGCTGAAGTTTGTCAGTGTTGTTCTTTAATCTCATCATAACAGCTTTTCTCCAGTCCACTAACCTTTTATTGCTCCGTTGACAATCTCATTTATTAACCAGTGGGAGGTTTCAAAGTTTCTTGAGGGAGACAACAGTTCAGAGCAAAAAACTGAAAATATAATGTCTTTCGTTTGGGTAAGAGTGTGATGCATGAAGTCCTTGTCCATTGACAATCAAGATCAATACAGACATCGAGCAACTTCTTGATTTAAATTTAAATTTAGGCTGTTTTTTTTAGAACATACATCTTTAGGACATTTCTATTGTGTTGAATCTCAAGTTGCACAAGTTAATAACTGACTCTAAACAACAAGAAATACAATGGCAAATCTTATATGGAGCTCATATTCTAGATTACAGCGGATGACTCACTTGTATAATTTGAAACCGAGAAAGAAGAGCCTCCACTATCAATTTAGTTCAACTTGAAGTTCTGAGATTAGAGGCTAGTGTTGAGGAAAAATTCAGTGTCGGCATCTCATCCAGCCAATGGTGTTGGCCCACCAAAATTAATTCACAGACACTGATCCAGAATCATCTTGATTGCATGCCTATCAAAAAAATTTCTGCTTTACTGTCATAAAGAGGCTTTAGTCCTCTTAAACATCCTTTAAAGATTAGATCAAATTTTGTTTGCTGCTGATATTCAAAGCAGAAATATCCGTATACTAGGATGAACATGGAATAAAGATGGCACAAAGTGTCACCCATCACCAAAATACAAAAAGGAAAGGAAACAAAAAGATTAAGAACTCAAAGAAGTCACATCAGGGTAAAAAATTAATGTAAGCAAAATGTGCATATATCAATCATGATCAACTTATTCAAAATTTAAATGTTAAGCGTGTAAATATAAAGTAACAAGAATATATTGATGAGGATCGCTAGTTGCTACATAACAGCATCCATCAAAGTAACAAAATTCTGACACCACAGAAACGTCCAATTATTGTTCACATGGTGGCATTTTCAAATCTCAATACCATCAAATGGACGAGGGACCACGTTATTAGGCACTAGAGGTATCAACTTCGGGCGCTTTTAGCACAAGTAGAAAAAGTAATGTTGTGAGCATAGATAATGATATGACGTAATGGGTAAACATAATGAGGATATCATAAAATGAGTGCATGTTCAGCTCCACAGAGCTTTATTCTGTAATATCTGAGATTGCATCCTGAGTTTATACGTGGTAACATAACACCATGGACTGAATCTAAAGTAACTACCTTCATTGACTGGATAATAATTGTGCTCTGCATGATGGGCCAAGGGCGGTTGCAACTGGTATAAAATGCAATCCAATATTGAAGGTAACGGTTTTTCTATCTCTTCACTATTCCGACATGCATATACTAGTGGATATCTAAACAGCAGTCATTGTATGATCTCCGGAAATATGGTGCAAAAGGAACGTGGTATATCCCTAATTTAGTCCTTAACCAGCAGAAAACACTCGAAGGAAGACCCCCCCCCCCCCCCCCAACAGCCACCATGACGATTGAAAATAACAGAATGTCCCCCCCCCCCCCCCCCCAACAGCCACCATGACGATTGAAAATAA